GCTGCTGAAAGGAAGAGCGCGGCGTGGGGCGGGGGCGGGCCCGGGCCCGGCGCGTCACTGCCGGGGCGGCGCGGCCGGGGCGGCGCTGCGCCATGGCCATCTTCAGCGTCTACGTGGTCAACAAGGCCGGCGGCCTCATCTACCAGCTGGACCACTACGCGCCGCGCTCCGACACCGAGAAGACGTTCAGCTTCCCGCTCGACCTCGTCCTGCGCCCGCACGATGAGCGCGTCGTCGTGGCCTTCGGGCAGCGGGACGGCATCCGCGGTGAGGCGGGTGGGAAGGGCCGGGCGAGGCCGGGCTCATGGACGGGCGGAGGGACGGGCTGAGTGACCGACTGAGGGACTGACTGGCCGACTGACGGACTGACCGACCGACTGACGGACTGACACTGACTGCCTGGCTGGCCCTGTCCCCGCAGTGGGTCACGCCGTGCTCGCCATCAACGGCGCCGAGGTGAACGGGCGCTTCACGGCGGACGGCAAGGACGTGCTGGAGTTCCTGGGGAACCCCGCCAACTACCCGGTGTCCATCCGCTTCGGCCGCCACCGGCTCTCCTCCAACGAGAAGCTGATGCTGGCCTCCATGTTCCACTCGTGAGTCGCGGGGCCGGGGTGGGCCGGGGAGGCGCGGGCAGGGCGCTCAGGGCCTGTCCCCGCAGGCTGTTCGCCATCGGGTCGCAGCTGTCACCTGAAGTCGGCAGCTCCGGGATCGAGATGCTGGAGACCGACACGTTCAAGCTGCACTGCTTCCAGACGCTGACAGGTACCACGGGGCCCTAGGCACCGGCACCGCTCTGCTTCCTCACGGCTGTCTGTGCTTGGCCTTCCTTATGCCTCTGGTGTTTTGGCTCCAGGGATCAAATTCATAGTTCTTGCTGACCCAAGGCAGACGGGGATAGATGCTCTTCTCCGCAAAATCTATGAGATTTACTCAGACTTCGCTCTGAAGAATCCTTTCTACTCCCTGGAGATGCCAATAAGGTAAGGGAAAACCCACTTTTAGTAACCTGGCTGCAACCCCTCATGGCTTTCTGCCTGTACAGTAGCAAATGCAGACAGTCATTAAGTAGCAAAACTGGCTGAGGGAAGGGGAAGGAAGCTACAGCACACTGCTGCAGAGAGGACACAGCCCTGAGCTCTTTCCAGTGCTGGCTCTGCTGGGGAAATGGGAGGTGCTCCTCCTTGGCACAAACCCTGCTGTCCTGCCATATATTCAGGCCTATACAAGATGCTTTAATCTTAACTAAGCACCAAGTCAGACCTTGACAAGCAGTCATGTTGCTGTGTCGTAACTTCCTGAATCTCTCCTTGAAGGATGCAGATCCAAAGGATGTGGAGATCCTTTGTTAGCTTTGTTAACTCACTTCCATAGGTAGAAGTCATCCCTTTTGCTTTTCTATTTCAGGTGCGAGTTGTTTGATCAGAACTTGAAGCTTGCTCTGGAGGTGGCAGAGAAAGCTGGACCCTTCGGCCCTGGATCATAGAAAAAGCCATGCCTGTTGCAGAGATTCATTCGTCTGAAGAGTGGGGCCTCTCTCGTCCCGGGCTGGCCTCTCACAAAGCTCCCCTCTCCACAGCAGAGACTGCACATCCCCAAAACATGCTTCAGTATCTCCCAAAACATCAGTTTATCCCCTTTGTTGCAAAACTTACCTTAAAGAGATTCCTTAGCACCGTTTACATTGGGCCCCAGGGCCTTATGTTGCTGTTGCAGCTCTGCTGCACTTGGGTGAAGAAGGTGCAGGACTGTGGCTTTACCACAGTCGGTGCTTTTCTTTCCTGTCATAAATGTACATATTTATTTTTCCTGTATAGCTCGAACTTATGGTCTTGTAGAGGGTTTCTGTGTAAAAGTAATAAGTGTTTACTGATGAGACAAATGGCTGTTTGCTTTCTGTTGGTGGGGACAATCCTCAAGAGGATATGTGGATTTGGCTGGTTTTGCTTGCACGACTCTCCATAAGACAAGCAGGGCCCTTGTGACACTGCTCCATTTTTATTTCAGATATAGAAGAAGATTGTGTAATTAAGTACAAAATGTAATTCACTTTCATTTACTTAATTAAGGCTAGCTAACTACTCTTGCAACCAAGGTACTCAGCAAAGTACCTGCGTGCAGGTTCTTTACGAGCTGAACTTGCCTTTTTCAGGATCCTAAGACAGTAAATCCTTTTGGGGAAAAATAAGACTATTCAACAAATTCCTGGTTAAATACCTGAGTGTACTTACTGCAGGGTGCTGTGCCTGAGGCTGACTCAGTGGCAATCCAAGCCCCTGCCTGCAGCCATGAGAGACACAGCTCTTGACCAAAGCTATCCCAGTCTTCACACCCTGTACTGAAAAAGTACAAGCCAGTACCAGAAATGTGGGTTATCAAGAAACCCAGCTGCAGAAATCGTGGGTTGGTGGTGGCTGCTGTTGCAATTCCTGCTGCTGGGATAGTTCTCCTGGCTGATTTGCAGAGCACTGGCTACGAGGTGCCTTGGCAGCAGCTGCCTGCCTTGCAAATCATTAACACTGCACACAGACATCACGCTGAGGGGATCAGTTCACCTCCAAGGAGCTCCTCTGAACGCTGTGAATTCCCTGGAAACGTGCCTGTCTCTAAATGCTGTGGAGAGCCCTGCTACAGCTCATCCACAGCCTTGTCCCTCCTTCACTCCTGGAAACTAACCCCATGTAGAGCTACAGCCTGCTGCTGTCCAAGACTGCCCTGCAGTCAGAGCTGCAGCCCTGCTGTCCAAGGCTGCCCTGCTGTCACAGCTGCAGCCCTGCTGCTGTCCAAGGCTGCCCTGCAGTCCCCATTCCCTGGTTACGTGGCTGAGCACACACAGAGCTCGTGCTGAGGTGACCTGGGACAGCTGTGCTGAGGGCAGCTGGATGGGATGGACAGGAGAAAAGGCTCGGTTCAGGGCCCCTGAGCAGCCAAGCTGAACTGATTAATGTCTCAGCTAATGGCTGAGACAAACAATAATGACAAAACTAGAGGTAAGTGTACCTGAAGCCAGGCATTTCAGACCACTTGTAGTGGGGAAGCTTGGGCTGCAGAGCCTGCTTGCTTCACTAACAGTGCTGTGAGGAAGAGGTACAGTAAAATCATTGCAAATGTAAACTAGGTGAATTATCACATCTTGAGGGAAAAAGTGATCAGTAGCAGGAACCTTGTGCCCTCTGGCACCTGACACTGGATGAGAAGTTGAGACATTTTTATCTAGGTTGCAGCAATAGGTAAACTCACTCCTAGGCCAGTTAAACAAAAACGAGCATCATTCACGTCAGCGTGGGAACATCCTTTCCACCAAGCAGCCTGTCCTCAGTCAGCCTTCTTGGGAATGCGGCCCATCTTGGTGCGGATGTTTCGTAGCAAGAAGAAAGCCACTGTGCTAATGATGCAGGTGACTTCAGCCACCCAGAAGGCTGTGGCCCAGCTGTAGTGCTTGGCAATTGTACTGAAAGGCAGTCCAGCCAGGAAACCCCCAACTGCAACGAAAAACAAACACAAAGCTAACAACACTTGTGTGCTCCCAAGTTATCTATCAACAGCTGCTTTGGCATATATAACAATTCCTCAGGCCGGGTTTGAAGTTGAAGCCCAAAAACACCTGTTGGGCACAGCAGGAAAGCATTCATTCCAGCTCCATTATCTCTTAAGTGCCTTCCCATGACCAGTAGCTTGGCACCTGGAGCTAGACCATGCTTCATCAAGAATGTGCACGGGTTTTGTTTGTTTTCTGGGGAAATGGGTATTACTTACCATTGGCCATGAGGGCCACTATGGCGTGGGAGGTGCCACACAGGTTGGCAGGGGCGCTTTCGTTGGCTATGACCCCAAACAGGGCAATCGGCCCATACGAGGAGAACCCAAACACAGCTCCCAGAGTCAGAATCCACAGCTGTCAAAGCAAGTTAAAATCAGAAACAGGATCTGTGCATATCGCCACTGTCAGTTAGCAACTGTTGATAATTCTCAGATTCTATACACAGTACCAGGCAGTTCTGACATTTTCAGGCTGACACCAGCTCCCCAGCCTGCAGCCAGAGGAGCTCAAGCCTGTAGAGTCCCCACATGCATAAAGCCCAGCTGCATCTCCACCACTCCACCTCAGTGGCCAATGCAAGCTCTCCTCCCTGCCACCATTCTGCCTCCCACACCATGAAACACATCCTGTGCTGATCTGCAACAAACAGAACATGGAACAGAAGAGGGCAATGAGCCATGAAACCACAGGAAAGAACTGAATCAGGCTGCTTTCATAAACAAGCCTGGAGCTACCAGCTGAAAGCTTTTCTCAGTTTAGATGCATGGGACTGATCAGAGCGTGATTATTTGTGAGACACCTCCTTCTGATGACCTCAATGTTACTAAACTGAGAAACCAAAAAAAAAAAACCACCACAAAAAACCCCAACAGTCTGAACTTCAGTGTTAGCTTATGCTCTAAGAAACCTATCTGGGCCCAAATTATCAGTCTCTTGTTTGCACAACAAAGCATAAGTAACACCTCCACATTACAGCATGCTTTTAGAATTGCAAACACCATTTCAAAAAGCCCAGAGGAAGTAAGTGCCATCTATTTTCCAGATGTGAAACAGAAAGGAGTTAGGAAAACACTTGCCAGAAACTAAATAAGAATGCATCTGCCAGAGCAGAATCATTCTTTCAGATCTCACCCACAAGACCTCTTAGCTGGATATATTTTACCTGATGAACAGAGGTCCTCAGAACTTTCTTTATAAAACTTAAAAGTTACATAGTTAGACTTTTTAAAGTCAGTTAGTGTACTCAAAATTATTGTAAGAAAATGTTTCTTTTACCAAACTTACAGTAATCTCTTCTCAATTCCCTGGTTCTAAGTTCTGAGGTGCTAACCAACCTCTCAGGACAGGAGTAAGGCAGACCAGGGAAAGAAGAAAAAGGCAGAGGAAGAAAAAATGCAAGCAGAAACCTCATGTTCTTTTAGGCCTGTAAGATCAGCTAGAGGTTGCAAGGCTACAGTCCAGAAGTGGTTTTCCTGAAGAAGAAGAAAAAAATGAAAGGAGAAAAGAAGTTTTATTTATTTAGCAGTCATAAGGGCACGTGCAAGTCATGTCTCATGCAAAGCCTGGAAGGCAGGCTGCCTGCAGCAACAGGACAGCAGGAGCACCCCAAGCCAGGCTAAGCCAGAGTGCAAAAGAAAAGAAACCCTTGGGAATGGTGAAGCAAACAACAAGCTTTGTGTCATCAAAGCTTCCCCCTACGGATGGCCAGTGCTGCATGTGAATTACCTTGGGAGAGTCACCCGTGACTGTGATCCGGAACAGGAACATGGACACGCACATCCCGGCCATCATGGAGAGCAGCAGCGCGTGCCGCGGGTTCCCGTAGCTCAACAGCCCGACCTGAGGCACAGGGAAGGACAGCAGACACTCGGAAACTGGAGGGACCAGCACCATCCACAGCCCCGCAAGAAACACGGATGGCACATCAACAGCACTCTGCTGGCACACCTTGTTAGCATGGTTTAAGGGCTGCACACACTCAAACTGTGCTAAACAAAAGCTCTTAGTGATGAACACTTCAGTTATCAACCACTTCCACCCTCAGTCTGGCTCCAGATCCCACCACTGGATTTTAATGTGGGGTTTTTTCCAGCCAGAAGACAATTATCAGCAAACAGGCTTTCAGCACGAAAATCTGGAGACCACAGTAAAGCAAACAAATTAAACAGAATAAACACCTCAAATCTGACAGGCATATTGCAGCCCCTAGCATCAGCACACCTATTCCTCAGCACCTTCTGGAGTGTTTGGCAGCTGTGCCCATGCACGTGGCAGAACTGAGTGTGGGCTGGATTCTCTGCTGTGCTCACAGAGACAGTACTGTGCCTCAGTGAAGCAGCTCAGATTGCCACTGTGCTCCCCGCCCAGCGTGCCCGAGGGTGCACTTGACTTACTTTTGCTACTGCTCTGTCAGAAAGGTATCCAGCAGCAATGCTTCCCACCAGGCCCCCAATCTCCAAGGCACTCATGTAGGAACTGCCTAGGACAAAGACAAAGCAAAGAACAGCCCATCAGAAAAGCTGCTGTGGGCTCCAGAGCAGTGCCACTGCTGTAAGCTCACAGAGCACTTGAGCAGCTCTGCTGGACACAACCATCTGGGTCATCCCTGCTCAGGAATGCCTGTCTGCCAGTCCCAGGAACATCCTAGCACTGGAGTGCTTGGTGCATGCAGTAACTCCATCACTGAGTTATTTCAAAACCTGTGTGTATCCAAGCAGACAGCTAGGAGGTGGGCAGACAAGTTCCTCATGTGGAAGGGCCTCTACCCAGGCGAACCCTGGGCAACACCTCCCAGACTGCAGCCCCAGAGCTTAACAGTGCAGTTTTGCACCTCACCTACAAGCATGGACTGTCCCCTCTCCTGGATCAGGAAGAGCTGTCCCCAGTCAGTACAGCATGTTTTCACTCCAAAGACGACCAGGTAGCCTGTTGAGAGCACCCAGAGGTATGGGGAGAGCAGCAGCTCTGTCAAGGTGCTGTTGTCACTGGAGGAACCTGTAGGAAGGTCGGGAGGAGTGTCACCACAGCCCAAACCACACCAAGCAGCAACCCAGCAGGCAGTTCTGCAGGCAGGATCAAGGCATGAGAACATCCCCACACAGGGAGGCATTCACAGCTGCTGAATGGTAGTGAATGGCTCTGCCTCCCCCTTCTTCTGGTGATTTCAGAATCTCTTCTGTCATTTTATCCCACATTCATTAAAGATTTGAAAAGAATAATCAAAACAGTACTCCCAGTAATTTTCTGTATTGCAGTTGCCAGTAAACCCCTCACAAAGTTGTTAGAAAAATTACCTCTAGATTCTTTGGGAGTGTTTTTTAGCTGTGCCTCTGAAAGGCACGGCACAGACCCAAACAAAGATGCTAACATGAATTTTGCATCAGTCTTCCAGGAACATCAACAAACTTGCTCTCCCAGAGAAGGCTCCGGGGAAACAATATTCTTTTCTTATGCAAAGAGGTCCAGTCTGGCAGCACAGGCAGTATGGGACAGCATGGAACATAGGCTGAGTTTCCACTGGCCTTTAAAACCCTACTGAAAACCTGTGTTGCAATTCTCACCTGCATGTTCTGCTTTCAGAGAGGTGCCACACTCAGTGGTCTGAACAAACATTTACTAACTGGATGTCCTAGGTTAGGGCAGAAACACTGAGCAGAGTCCACCACGAGCTGGGGTCAAGAGAGCCCAAGGTGGGGTGAGGGGAGAACTGCCTGTCTGCTGCTGGGGCAGAGGAGCAGAGGTCAGGTTAAGGAAGCATTCCCTGCTGCTGCAGCTGTTCTCTCTCCAAAACTGCATTCACAACCTGAGCACACAAGGCTCCAAGAAAACAGGGATGCTGGTGGCAGGAAGACATGACATATATACAGGGAGAGCCAGCCCTGGGCACCTCAGCAACACACAGGTGTCTGCTGGCAGGCTAAGGAGCAAGACTACCAGAGGGCAAACAGCAGGCTTTTCCCCTGCTCTGCCACAGTCTCAGGAATCCCTACACCAGCCCCTTCCCACAAGATCACAGCGCGCCTTGGTTTATACAATTTCTACCATCAGTTACCAGAATAAAGCAGCCAAAACCAACCCATTACCACACACCTGCCAAATGTGCCTTCAGAAACTGGGGAGGACGGGGGTGTGGGTATGCTGAGAGTGACACATCTGCACCAGAATACAGACAGAAGGCACTGCATCCTCTGCTGCAGCTGCCTGCTGGCACCCAAGTCCCGTGCTCACCTTTCTTCCCTTTCTTGGCTCCTTGCTCAATGTTGGGCAGCCCAACATCTGCCGGCTCGTTTTTAATCAGGACAAGGCAAACAAAAGAGACAACCATGCAGGTGAAGCCAGAGAAGGACAAAGTCTTGCGCCAGTCGTAGTTCATAGACACAAGAGCAGCGACAATGGGGCCTAAGCCTCCAGCCAAGTTCATGCTTGTAGACAGGATTGCCCACCAAGTCCCAAACTGGGAAGGCTCAAACCACTGTGCAACAAGAAAAACAGCATGAGGTGTATGAGAGTGACAGCACACCTGAAAACCCTCCCTTGAAGCCCATGATGTGGGGCTGGGGCAATTCAGACACAGAAGTGCAAAAGCAGGTGGAGGGAACACCCACACCTCGCTACTTCAGTCATGCAGGGAACTCCAAACATTACTCAAGTGTCAGCCGTAAGAGCCTGACAGGTGTTCACACTGTGAGCCAGCTCAAAGTTACTTCCATTTACAGACCATGAAACTGAGACGTGGGGCAGGAGAGGCGAGTTTAAGAGCACATGGTTTTGTGTACTCACTTGCTAGGAACAGCGTCCTCCTGGAGAGGTCTGCTGGCTCAGGAACTTGGATGGATACGCAGAGAGTCACAGGGTAACCTTAGGACTCGCTGTTGCATTAAGTGTCAGACATGACAGGCTCTGCATTGCAACGAGCACTCAGAGCCAGAACCACTTGGGCGGCTCTTGTCAGCAGGAAGGTGTCTGAGATCTACATTCATGAACAACTTCAGAAAACACCATGGCTGACATCTCCGTTATTTGGGCCCTTCTTTTCTGTGCATTCAACTGTCCTGCACAGCCCTCTCCTCATCAGTTAGGGGAGGCCACGTGCCTCACAGAAGGGCAACAAAGTTGTTTATCTCTTCCCCACTGTGGCCCACAAGTACATGCAGTACAGTCATTCCTGGATTTTACATCTTCCATGAGGGATCAGCATAAAGCTGTCCAAACTCCTTTCCTTCTGTCCTTGGGAGAAATCAATTTGGTCCTTTCAGTACCGCAAGTACATACAGCTCAGAGACTCATCTCACACCACTCCTCTGTCTTATCCAGTTTTCTACCTGAACCACCTGTGATTTGGAATTCCCAAGTTGCCCAAGCGTGCAGATGGAACTGTGCTCACTTCCCCCTGGCCCATAGCAAACCCTGACTTGCATCAGCAGAGACAAGCAGTCCTGTGTGTCCATGCCTAAAATACTTAATTCCCACAAAGTCTGCCTCAACGGGGCAGAACTCTGGTACCAGGAGATGTTACCAAACTGAGCTACACTCAAGGCACACAGGGGCAAGGGCTATGGAATGAATCTTTGCTAGAATAAGCAGATCCCTGTGCACAGAAAGTTGTTCCTCAGGCAGCAGACAGTGCTCCAGACCTCCTTGGCTGGAAGGGAGTGAGAAAAGCTGCAAGTCCCTCTGGATTCTGGGCAAGCATGGTGTGCACAGCCCTGTTGCCAGGCCAGGTCAAGGGAGCAGCGGCGAGTTCCCGGCCCTGTCAGCACCCACCTTGCGCAGGATCTTCCCGCAGGGCGGCCAGCCCAGCCCCTGGGCCAGCCCGTTGAGGAACCAGAGCCCGGCGAAGGCCGTGACGGTGGAGCTCCAGGAGAAGACCACGTTGACCAAGCCCACCATGAGGAGGCCGGAGGAGAAGAGCCAGCGGGCGCTCATCTGGTCCGACAGGACGCCGCTGATGAACTTGCTGATGGCGTAGGCCGCCGACTGGCTGCTGGTGATGAGACCTGCGGCGGGCAGAGCCCAGGGCCGCCTCAGCCCGCGGCACGGCCCCTCGGGCCCGGCGCGGCCCAGGGGCCCGGCCCCCTCACTCACCCAGCTCGTCCTTCCCCAGCGGCACCTCGGCCATCACGGCGGGCATGACGAACGAGAACGTTTTGCGGTTGAAGTAGTAGAGCGTGTAGCCCACGAACATGGCCGCGAAGATCGCGGCCCGGTACCGCCCGTACCCGCCGGCCGCCATCGCTCCCGCGGGGCCGCACCGCTCCGGGCGCACCGCTCGCACGGACGGACGGACACGGACAGATGGGCGGACACGGCCCCGCCCCGGCCCGCGGAAGTCCCGCCCCGGCCCGCCCCGCTCCCGGCCCACACGGCTCCGATCCCGGCCCCGCTCCCGGCACCCACGGCCCCGCTCCGCACAGCCCGTCAGGAAGGGTCGCTTTTATTTCTGGCCCAAGAGGCCAAATGGAGAACAATGTCAGATGCACATTCGAGCCGTCGGACCCCACTCGTGTGTGTGGCAGCAGCAGGGACGGTCTGAGGAGGCAGCAGGGCACGGACAGGGACGGGGACAGAGAAGGTCACACGATTAAGTCGGTCCAAGTGCACAAAATACCGAGGAAGGCAGTTGCCATTAGACTTTCCAGGTTTGGTTGTTGGATCCGTATTGCTGTCCTTGTGACTGACTGCAGGATGTGCCAACACGGCCCATCCTTCCCTCTCCTCTGCATTCAGTGTTGCCTTTTCTGAACTCTGAAAACTATGAACAGAATCTTTTTGTCAAGTCTCAGTTCATGGTTCTTGGACTCTGCTAGACAGCACAGACAGTTTTAACAAACAGCCTATTGAAAACAGACACAGCCATATCCCAAAGCACAGATAATCTGCCTTCCCAATTTTGTTCCACCTTCCCAGGAATCCAAGTACTAATACACCTCCCACCAGCTGAAATCACACATTTGCTCTAAGTCAGGGTCTCATATGCAAAGACAACAGCACTTCAGGTCTACATCCTTCTGCAATCATCTTCACAAAAGGTGAGGCACAGAGTTTATGTTCCAGGTTACTTCCTACACCTTAAGATGTTTCTGTACTGCTTTCTCCCCACAGGAAAGTCACTTTGGTGACTTCTGTACTGAAACAAAGACAATTCTTGGTGGGCAGTCTGCCCCACATAATAAAAGAAAAACAAAAACCAATTCACTAAGTTAGTAGAGGCAAAATCCGCAGAAAAAAAACAAAAAAATAAATTTACATCTCTATCCCATTGTGTTGTCATTGTGTTCCATTTACATCATGACTAACCAGGTCCATAAGAAAAACAAGAAAGTAACTATGAAATAAATAGATGTTGACACTCGTAGGATTTCAGGGTGTTACAATTCATCATTTTTCCTGGTTTCTCCTCCAGCTTCTGCCTTCTCTTTTTTGGACCCTGTGTAATGAAGCAAACTCAGTTTCACACTGCAGTCATTTTCACACCATGCAAAGCAGTACTGAGAGTCTCTGACATTTGCAAAATTTGCCACAAAACTTGCAGTCCGTGGTACAGAGGTTTTGGGGGTTGATACTCAGCTCCAGGGAGCTGAAGCCATGAAGCCCCTGGCCCTGTTCACAGTGCTGCCCTGGCAGCAGGAGAGCACAGCAGCTCTAAGCAGAGCCGCTCTCACAGCCAGGAGACTGGCTGCAAACTGCAGGGACTTCATGCACAAATGTTCTTTATGCACAAAGCAGCACTGGTGCATAAAGAATTCCACTCTGAACAACAGAAATATGGGAACAGCAAGGAACCAAGATCTGTCTTCCTGTTTGCAGAATTAACAATGTATGAGCAGTCAGGGGTTCTACCATCATATTACCTCTTACAGCTAAAAATCTGCAGAGGAGCCCCCAGACACCTTGCATTTGCAGCAAGTTCCAGATTGTTAGCAAAACATTTACCCACCCGAGTCTGATCCAGGCTTATCATCTATTGCTGCTTTCTCAGCTGTAGGAGGTTCCTTGGCTGGATCAATATCCTCTGGTTTGTCTATGTCCAAAGCAGAAAGAAAGAAAAGTCAACACAGGAGACAAGGTGCAAAGAGAAGAGGTGAGTAAAGGTGAGGTTAAACCAGCCAGCTGTGGTGCCTCAGCAGGACTGTAATAGTTCACTCTCACAGCTGGATCACTCTACAACACTCAAGAGAAGCACCACAAAACTGCTCCCTATTCCCCTCTGAGTGCCAAGCTTTATGTCCCCAGAAGCCCTGGAGACTGACTGGTTACACAGGCAGATGACCTTTGGAGCTGTGACTAGGAGCAAGATCCCTTGCTCAGACCAGAGGAACCAGCAGGAATGCTGACAAACAGCACCCAGATTTAAAAGGACCAGGGCACTTGAGACCTGAGGATCTCAGAAAATTAAAAAAACTAAGTCCTAGTGCTCCAAGAGATTTTTTTTTTCCCCTAGGGTCCATCTAGGCCACAAACCTTTCCCATCAACAATTCATTCTACTCACTGATCTAGGACAGGACTTTGAGTATTCAGCACAGTACACTCAAGTGCAGTCAATGGCTTATCTTTCCTAGAAGTCTACAAGCCAGCAACACAGGTACTGACTATCCTGGGAAATTTATAAATAATTTCTGTTTCTTCACAAAAAAACCCCAACAAATGGTGGGGGGTGAAGGACACTGAAATATATAGATTTTTTTCCAGCTGTCTTTGAAAATTAAGAGCAAACTCCCCTAATCTCACAGTTAACTACTGCCCTCCCTTCAATCAAGAGAAACACCATGTATTACATGTGGTAATTATATAATACAGAGTTGCATACATGCTCCAAGCCTGCTACTTACCTTCTTGTTTCCCCTCCGTGGGAGGGATAGTATTCTCAGTCTCAGGAGCTGCTGTAGCATTCTTGCCTGAATCAGTTTTTGTGGCATTCTTCTCCCTTTTGGGTTTGGGTTTTGCAAACTTGGCTTTATTCAGGAGATACTGCACTTCCCTGTCCAGGGCTGCTATCTTGAACTCTATATCTTTAGAGAGCAGCACGGGTTTCTCAGTAGGAGTAAGCTTGTTCTGTTCAGCCAGTGTCTCATTTTTCCAGATCTGTGGGACGCGAGGGAAGAGGTGCTTTTGGAATGCTTCTGGGTTCCAGGAACTGCTGTATATTACAGTATCTCAAAGTCACTGCCCCTGGCTGTTCTGCTTTACTCAGGACAGCTCTCCTCTGTGCTACATTTCCACCAACCTCTCAGTTACCCAGACACAGGAAAAACAGAAACAAAACCCAGTGCCTGCCTTTAAAAACTGAGTACAGTCAGATCACTGGGCTCCACCCCCACCCTGGAGATGATTCCTCATGCAACAGGAACCACCAGTGCCCCCAGACACAATGGGGTCAGGCTGGGCATTAGGAAACACTGAAACACACAAAAGGTTTGCTGGTGGCATGAAAACAAAACACGCACATTCTACTCCATGACCTTGAGTGAAAGTACAGGTCATAACCCAACCACCCCACCCTCCTCCAGCATCACTCCGCCCCTCAGTACCGTTGTTTCATTGATGGCTTTTTCCAGTGTACTCAGTTCCACTTCTGTGAATATCTGGTCAGACTCTGGAATCATTCGGGCTCCCCTTGTAGATAAGAAAGCTTATTTTTGTTAAGCCAAACAGACTGCACTTTGGAAACTCAGTGGTTAAAGCTCCAGTAATACAAAAACACCACAACCATGCCGGAACCCTCCTGCCCCTCATTTTGGACAAGTGGCTGTTAACAGGTCCTGCAGAACAGGACACTGGGGAGCAAGGCTCTCCTCACCTTTTCTCAGGAAGTGCCACTGAAAGTGCCACTTTCACATTCACTCTGGTCTCATTCTGCTGGCAGCTCCTACATGACCAGTTGCATGACATTCCTTTCCAAAAGCCTGCCCTTACCTGAGAAAGATGGTGGAGTGATTGAGCAGACTTTCCAGAGCAGCCAGGCGCTCTGGCCACTTTCTCCGTTCCTCAACACGGAAGAAAAGGTTCCTACAAAGCTTTTTCAGCTCTGAAAGCTTGTCTTTCAGCTCCTGAAAATGGAGGAGAGGAGAAAGGAGACAGTTTGACCACTGTCTAACACTGGCAACTTCAGAAGTTATAACTGCATTTGTTTTTCACTCTGTCAAATACACCCTTTCAGTCCAGTGAAAAGAGCCACATGACAAAGCTTTCAGTCAACAGGTTCCTGCTGAAGCTCTTGTAGAAATATCAGTGGCTGGGACAACTTATTTTGTTCTGTGCATAATGCTCTGAGGAAACAAGAGACTTCCAAGAACCAGAGTACAAAGGCTCTGTCAGCCTCTGTGGCCACTTCCATGTCAGTGACAGCTGACTGGTATCCTGACTGCACACAGCAATACCTTTGTTGCAGCTGCATAGCCCTCCTCCTCCATCCAACTGGAAGCCTCACTAAGCTTTTTGGAAATTTCTTCTCTCTGCTCCTCTGTTGAGACAAACTGATACTCCTCTTGGTAAAGCTTGTCCTAAAAAAACAGCAAGCACTGGTCAAACACCACTGAGCCTGGAACCATAAAACAAGAGCATTCACTTGCAACTGGGCTGGGCTGCTGCCTCACCCTCCCAAATGTTTGGGAGGAGCACAGGTGACACACCAGGTGTAGATACACCCACATGCCATGATGGCAACACTGCAACAGTCATTATTTTGTTCACACTTCACACTAGTTGCCTCTTCTGCACAACAGTTCCTGAGAAGCTGGAGCTTCTTTACACTGTGGGGGCAATTGCTCAATGTGTTAAACGGGCGGAAGGGAAGCTTCATTTTGTATTGAGGAAACACAGGCCTGGGAAGCCTAATAGCATTAGAAAAAGTGACTGAAAGACAAAACCTGGGCTCTTCAAATCAGCTTCCTCCAGCTCAAACAACTCCCCTGCACTCAGATCAGCCAAAAGCTGTGCAAAACACTTCCACTGCTCTCCTGGAATTCTCATTTTATTATATCCCTCTCTTACCTGGGTCTCAAAGATGAATGACTCCAAGCTGTTGGCTGATTTTTCTCTTTCCTGTTTCTCTAGATCTCTAATTGTCAAGTCTTGGAGTCTAACATGCAAAGAGAACAAAAATCAAAAGGTAGCAAGTACCCTTGGTTGAGCAGCACATCACACACACTGGCTTCTGAGGTCACAGTGCTCTATGGGAGCCATCACCATTCCAAAGCAATTCCCTTCCTTTATCTAGAGTTCTAACTTAGCAGAGCCATTTCAAACTTACTTTTTCATCGAGCTCTTCAGTTCATCTTCTTGCAGGTCAGGCACATCATTTACATCCAGCTCC